TACAATTATTTCATTTAGTTTAAATTTATAAATATTTGCCATAATTAACAAAAGTTGTTTATCAAATTCATTTTTTGCTTTGTCAGATAATTCTCGTTGTTTTTTTAAATGTTCAGTTTTTGATTTGTTTTTTGCCCTGCTTCCCTTTTCTCCTCTTTCCATCTCCATATTTTCGGCTACCAAGTCCTGGTAATTGCCGAATTTTTCGCAATTTAAAGCGTACTGTGCCTTTTTTTCGCTTCTCGACATATCCTCGGTAGGGCGGACACGTTCCAGTTCGCTGGAAGTCGTTTTTCGCTTAAAATCGTAGTCGTTGTATTGACAATGAATGTGCGGTGTAGTTTCGTCGAAATGAAATGCTATACTTAAAATATTTTTTTCTCCAAGACCTTTTTTCTTCATTACTGCTTTAACTGTTTTTATTGCATTGTCATAAAATTCTTGATTATCAACATTTTTATCGCCCCCGATTGCAATAACAAATTCTTTTTTGAGATTTTTTGTTTGTAATACAGTGCGGATTTTTGGCGGTTTAGTGCCGTTTTTTTTACATTCAGCGAAAATTTTATCTTTTTCTGCTTCTTTATGTTTTTTATAATCGTCTCTTGCATGTTTATCAATCGCTTTTTCATATTCTTTTATTGTTTCTATAATCTCGTTATTACTTCCGTCTCGTTCAAAAAATACTTTTTTAAATGTATCGACGGTATCGTGATACCAAACAACATTTTTTTGTGTATTTTCATGATTAACTAAATTATCTTTGCTTAATTCCTGTAATAAATGATTTAAGCTAGAAATTTGGCTTATTTTTGCTTGACGAAATATTGCTATATTTTTTGCCATTTTTAAACTCCTTTTTATTTTTTAATTATTCTCTAATTAAATCGGAGTTCTTAAAAACTGTCAACTTTTACGCTAAATAAACTAAATTTTTTAAAGATACGGGATACTTACTATCCACATAACCGCCTGCGGACGGCTTATGTTGTAAGCAATTGCATTGAGCTAGAAAAGTTTCCCAACTTTCCCAACAGCGCCCGGGCGTTGTTTTTCGCACGTAAAAAATCAACAAAAATTTTTCGGAATCTAGATTTTTGATTAACAATTTTTAAAAATGAGCGTGGAGCGAATTTTTAAACTGCGGAGCTAATGAACGGAGTGAAATAGCGACCTAACTTTTTAGTTTTTGATTTTTGATAAACTAGCATCGCAACTCAGAAATTATTTTATAATTTTTTAAAACTCAATCATGAT